AAGGGCGAACATGGTTGGTGGTACGGGGATTCGAACCCGCGACCCTCAGATTGTGAGTCGAGTGCCCTAACCACCTGGCCATGCCGGGCCATGTCCACAGTTTTCACGTTTTAAGAGGTGAGGAAGAGCAAAATGTTTTTCTTTGTTCATAGTCTACTGACAGCCAGGCCTAAAAGTTTATTCAACAAACTAAATACAGGTCTAAAGAGTAGAATATCAATAATAATAATGAGGTTAATACGATAAACACAAAGTGATTTAAAGTGACCTCAAATGGTTACGTGATAACTAATTTTTCAGTTACCGTTTCAAGATATGTGGATTATTAAGATCTGTTGTTGTATTAAGCGCAAAGTTACACAAAGGACTATCTATGCTCTGCCCACCACGGGTATCAAAACCCGATTTTTGACGCTGTAAGCCAGCAGACTTACCGCTGAGCCACTAGGAGGCATTATTAAGATTAACGAGAGATGTGTCCAGTAATAAAGATTTAAATATATTGTTTAAGACAAAAGTTCCTAAGTTAGCAGACAAAGAAAATCAGTAGTGTTTAAGGAGTTGTTAATTTGCTTATACATTTTCATGATTACTGTACAAAATATCTATCATGAAAATTTGAATATTACATGGAATTCAATGGTAACTTATTATCACTAGTAGATCAGCATTATTCTTATTCTACCCATTGACTGGTAATGTAAACTTGTCATGACTCCTTGCTATATTTTGAAATCTCGTTTTTCATTCTTTTAAATATTTATTTGTCAAACTGAATGATCTTCAAGCTTAAATAAAGCCATTTATTATTCATATCAATAGCAGATATAGACCCACATAATATGATGCATCCGAACAAGTGTTCGATGCTAGGGACAGTTTAGTGTCATTACGTATTTTATGTAATTCGATTTGTTATTTAACGAAGCAGTTTCGTTAGTCTCGAAGTACAAAAGATGCTGGGATCACGTTTTGTAAATATCGAAATTGAAACCTTAAGTTTCTAGTAATTAATACGATAACATAATCGAATTAAACATACTGATATTTAGAACTTATCCTAGATATTGTTTAATAGTCAGAAATTACGCTTCACGAAAGTTATATATATATATTGTGATGTTCTGGTAAAGGAAACCAGCTCGTAGCTAGTCACATAAATGAAAGGATGACGCATTACGTTTTTAAACAATACTGAAGTCACAGACAGAATGAAATGTATTCCAAATAACCGAAAATTATTTGCTTAACCAACGATAAAAAATTCTTAAAACATTAGTCGTTCGTAATGAGCTATTAGCAGAGACCTAGGCTGAGGCGGTGGAGGGGAAGGGGGGGGGAGACTTGGTACGTGATTAAAATTAAGTTAAAAATGTAAAAGGTTCAATATACATTTAATTTCATGTGATGAACAACTAAATAAATATGAATTTATATAGCTTAAAGTTTTGCCTCTTTATAGATTAAGTTATTTACCTTCTATATATTTCTACAGCTTTTACTATATATACATATTTCTTGAAAGTCTGTTTGTTTGTCGTTAAGTACAAAGTTTCACAATGGGTTATTTGTGTTCTGTCAATCGCGGGTATCGAGACCCGATTTTTAGCGTTTTAAGTTCTCAGACTTACCGCTGAGCCGCCGGGGCGCTATTTACTAAATGCAAAAATGCTAAGACTCTTGTAACAGTTGTGAATTATAATGCACGCACGTGCGTCTTGAATGGCAAGTTGCATGCATACATTACACATTAATTTATGAATAAACATACTTTTGTTATACACGTAATGACAGTAGAATTCTAATTGTTGCAGATTTACTGTTATTTGTCTTTAAGGGCTTAGACATTCAGTTGTATTTCCCTCTTTATGCAAGCTAAATTAATACGTGTTTACTTTTATATGCTCTCAATGTCCTAATATTTTGTGTTGCCTCAAATTAACTTAAAATTGTTCATGAACTTGGTGTTGATTAAGGTAACCTATTGTTAGGTTGGCTGTGATCACCAGATAATACAATTTATAATCAACCAAATTTTTCTTAGTAAAACGAATACAATTTCCGAAAAGGAAAGAAAAAAATGTGATCAACGTTTCGACTAAAAGTCCTTTAGTCAAACCGTTCACCACACGCTTTCATTTCCTTTATATAGAAAGTAATTTTAACAATTTCTTTGTATTTTCAAATTCAATTTTTCGAATGCCTAAAGAATGCATTCTGTATTTTATACATAATTTAGAACTTTAAAGCTCACATTATGCTGGTCTAGGAACAATAAAGCCTAATTATTATTCTTTTTAAAAGCTATTGCTAGAATAAACTTAACAATATAGCACTATTTGGTGGCAGTGCAGGTCGTATGGGTTATAACCGTGTGTGCAACATTAAGCGTTCAGAAAGAAATGGTTATGAAAACCTGTTTGTTGTTGTTCTTTGGGGAGGGTGGGTCACTTTTAAAATGAAATATATTATACCATTAATATACGCTCACATATTAGCTTGTTGAAGCAAGCTAATATTTCAACCGGGATTTGGTTTTTAACCCTAAAATATGCCTACATAAGCACATTAGAACGATTAGGATTTTGCCAAAGCAGTTCTTTTCAAGTTATAGCTTTCCAGCTTACAAGCCAAACATATCTGTTATTTCTTGGTTTCCTTTGTTATTCTGCTTCAGCTAAGTCTTCTCTTGACATGCATTTTACGATGTGCTAAGATAAGAATTTAGATTGTTCTATTATTAAAGCAGAAAATTACATTCCGTGATCGTTCACCATACAAGCACTAAAGTAAACAGGTCCCTCATTGGCTAATGGAATTCTCATCGGTTTGTCTCGTGTCTTGAATATGGTGCGTTAACTCCATTATCACTCTCTTTCATGACGTCACTCGTTGGCAAACCTTGTCCTAATAAAGAAATATTAGGCTACAAACAGGCATTCAGTTACCCCCAGAGATTCCACATGTCGTTTACCACTGCTGGTCGCTGCCATGAAAGTACTTGGATATACGTCATTTCCGTTGGGAAATGACGTCACTTGAGGACAAACGACCCCTCGTAAAAGCAGGGAAATAATCGAATTGAGTTTGTTGACAATGTTAAAATTAAATTAGGTGCACTTTCTCAAGTTAAACTTTCAGCAAAATGACTTTTACCGTGTCAAAAAATGAACAAGAGAAAAATGAAAAAATAATAAAGGAAATATTATTATTCTCAACGTTTCTAAATGCGATTTGTTAACTGTTGGTTTTCAATGTTTATATTACTTTCAATTTTATATATCGGTTAATTTATTGTGTATGACAATTTTATTAAACTATTCATTACAAAACAACAAAAAGTTAAATAAAAATGTCAAGTGCAAATATTTTTTTTTAGTTTAAAAGCTTTAAAAGAAGTAAGATTCGTAGTTGAAATAATATGTTATTCTCAGATATTTATTGTATACGTAATACTATCAAATCTAAACCGTTAAATATACTTTTTTATTTGTCCACGTGTAACCCACGTGTAACCCACGTGTATCAGAAGTAATTTGAAAATGTTTACTTCACCACAGTGTTGTTACTTTCAACCCACGCTTATTATAACACTTCCAACACAGTATTGTCAAGCAATTAATATGTACAATAAACTGTTTCAAATGTAGGCGTGCTGGTGACGTTTATTAAAAAGAATTGAGTCGTGTTTAATCTATCTGAACTTATATTAATTAATTAATGCGTGGTTATAATATGAGCTCATTCTTTATTAATATCTGACTCGTATAGTTTAATGACTATGACAAATGAGCAGTATAATTTTACAAAAGATTAATTTGAAATGATGACCATTATTTCCTTCCTTTATATGGCACTGATGTTGCTTAGGTTGGTACTTGACTTACAATAAAAACTTTGGGTTAATTTTTCCAGTGCATCCCTTAGATCATCCACAGCCTCTCTTTTCAGAAACATTTTAATAAAATAAGCGACTCTCTCTAATTAAGTTGTATCAATAAAAAAAAACAACTATTAACTCTGAGGAAAAACAACAACAAAGAAGAAAATATGGTGTTATTAATACTTGTATATAGAGAAGTTCGGAGCTTTGTTTTTTTTTTGTTTGTAATTAAGCACAAAGCTACACAATGGGCTATCTGTGCTCTGCCCACCACGAGTATCGAAACCTGGATTCTAGCGCTGTAAGTCCGCAGACATACCGCTGTGCCACTGGGGGGCTCGGAACTTTGCTACTATAACCAATTTTTATCACAAAACAACCATCAAATCTACGTGAAAAATCTTTCATTTTGTGGGGTTGGAGGTGACGGTTGCTAGTAGCGTAAGTTTTTGGTAAAATTTCACCCTAACTCCATTTTGTACAAATCATTGATTGATCATCTGGTCGTAATTGTTATGAAGAAGTCAACTAAGCAACTTTCATAAAGAAAAATTATATAGTACGCCCTCTAATATTGTACTTACACTATATATACGTGTATATATATACATACAATGTAGTGTAGTTAAATTTGCCGCTTGCAATTTTGATAATTCAAGATAAATCAAGGTAATTTAATGGTTGTGACTGTAAGCTAAATGTCTGAAATTTTTCGGGAACATTAATACTTCTATAGTAGGTATTCCATAACATGTGGTTTAGTTTGGTAGTAGCGCATCGCATTGAAATAATATTCAGAACATTAGCCAATTAGATGATATTTTTTATGGACTTTATTATATACCCTGATATGGATTTCCCTTTATTAATGCTTCTTCGTATGGTTATCTTTGTAACGAATTCAAATACAAAGACACAGTTTTTGTTGAGAATATTCCAATTGTTTAATGAAGCACAAAAAAAAAAAAACACACATGACACAAACAACTATTATACATTAGACAACTTACATGTTCTCAATAAATAGCTGATGGGATTTATCTGTACAACACATTTATTCCTAGAACAAAAAGACAGAATAAAGTCTACACTGTCTGAACGTGAATGTCTTTCTACAATGGTGTTGTAAACCTTCAAAGTTCACGTCATTTCGTTGGTTTCTGGGACCGGTCTAGTAAAGAGTTTTGCAGTTTTTACCACCTTTTCTTTCCACCCAATTCTGCTAACGGATAAACAGCATTTTTAGGGTCACATAATTTGTGAGGGTGGGATAGTTAAAACAAGATATACAGTTGGAAATGGAATTCTACTTATCAGACTCCTTTATAGTATAGTTTAATGTTAACGCCCAAGACGCCACGTTTTATGGTTGACCTAAATGGGGATGTAAAATAGAGAATGGGTGCTGGCTTCATGTTTTCCAGTCGGTGCATGCACTCTTACATTTAGAAAATCCCCCTCATTTAGATACACCCCTTGTAATTTTTGAAACAAAATGCTGATATTTTTGTACTTTAATGGACTGCGGCATCACTATGATCTATTTCCAGTCACTTAGAATTCATTGTCAAAACACGATTTTTGCTTTTGTTTGAATATTCCGCTAAGGTAGTGTTTTGGAGCGTGAATAGCATTTCGAATATTTTTGCATTAGTTGTCATAACAAATACCACACTAATTATAACACATTAATAATATTTTCTTCACTTCAATTCAGTTTCGACAGTGACACGTGTTACTTGAAACAAAGGCTTACGGGGTTATATAGTAGTTATCGTTAATAGCAATGACACAGTGCTGTCTATCAGTTACAGAGGGCGACACTAAAAGAACTGCCTTCAACCGCAACGCATTCGTAACCTGCTGCTCTATCGTTTCTCTTTTTTAGAACAAGTCACAGAAGCCTTAGAAATATAACAACGTTTGTTTGAAAAAAACAACAGAAACACGCACACATAAACACTTCGTAAAAAGAATTTTATATTGAACAAGTACTTTGTGAATCAATTTGAACATTAGAAGTTTTCCCAAACTGACAGTTCAACCATTTTACATTAATTTTTATTTTAAGTGTGGAAAACCAGTCAACACTAAGTGAGTGTATAGACGATTCGACAAGCTTCAGTGAAAGTTGTGTTCAGATTACACAAATTTTGATCTTCTTCTAGTGTAAATCCACGACAAGACGTCGGTAAGCCCACGATTTTCCTTCTACAGGTTGTTAGCTAATGGACTAAAGAAGACAGAGATCCTTATTGACATGCATGCCTTGTCCTCTTGTCATCACACCGTTAATGTGTTTCTCGGAGCAGGAGATAAGACAACTAAATTCGTGTTGACATTCTGCCCCTCGTATCACCCACCCTCCTACTAAAACGTTCCTCACCTTTCAGCATTAAATTCTTACATCGGAAAGGTGAGCTGGGGAGAGATAGCAGATTTGCTAGGGAAGCGGCCATTAAGCACGTGCGCGTGCCAACCGCTCTTTTTTTCCATCACCAGTAGATGGAAGTTGTGTTCTTATCTGCTAGAAGTAATGTCCCACTCCAAATACAGACACTTTCATTCTCTGTTACAGCAACTTGATGGCGGTGTTCAAAGGACGCGAAGGTCTTTCTTGTCCTTGATTTTCACGTCCGCGCGCACTTTACGGAAAGTCAATATTTATCATACCGTATGACTATTTCTTAATTTTTCCGTTAGAGCACCAAGATAACAAAAGGATCACAACGACACTTCGCGATGTTTTTACTTTTAAGAATAGGTCATAATAGCAGTGACGAGAACACTATATATTATCTGTCACAGTTCTATAGATATAATAATTTTCACTGGATTGTGTACGATTATATTACGACACTCACTCTTTGTCATAAATCAAAAGGACCATGGAATTTGTATTTTTACCTCGCTGTCTTACAAATGCAAGAGCTTTTGACAATTTTATATAAATTTCTAGCTTCACTTTCGATTTTTTTTTTCCAGAAAAACAAAACATAAAACGTATTGTAATTTTACGATATCACTTTAAATAAAAAGGCATCTGAAGTTTATGATAAGTTATGTGCACGTTGAGATGACTGGTCCCACTCCCACCCACGTTGGTAAATATTTAAAATCATTTGCTGAGGAAGGAATTGTTAGCCTTCTAGGTACAACACAACTGAACAGTTAGTTAGCATGTAACGATATCCACATCCTCACTACGAAGCAAATGAAGAGTTCACGTAAGGCCTTTATAATTCGAAAGTAGACACACAAAAAAAAGGCATAGCGACTGATACACACTTTACACCTTGACATTACCACAATGTTATTTTTTTTTACAATCAACGAACATCGCGTCATTGGTATATATCTCTATGACTTCATTTGGTGAGCCAAAGTTAAGAAGACAACGAGTGAAAAACAAAAGAAGGACAAAATATAGAATGTGAATAAGTAGTGGTATTGCAAAAAAGAAATAAAGCAGAGAGAGAGAGAAAATGTTGTGTGGAAATCAGGATGACCATTTCGGTTAACAGACTACTTCTGTTCTTTCCAGTGTGTTCAGCTGCCTTGGGAAGAGTTGCAACTGGTTAAATAACTACCACATAATAGCGGGGTTTTCCCCATAAAGAAAACGCCCTGCTCACTCATAAGCACCACACTAGACAGCTAATTAATTGTCATTTTCTGATATACATCAAGATCGTTTTTTTCTTGTCTGTACTCTTTGGTTTGAGCTACTTATGGAACTGCAATGTCTTCGCTGCATCACACTTGAAATTTAGATTCCAAGCGAGCATTTCTTCGCAGATCCATTGTTTGAATTACATGTAGACGAGCACAACAAACATTTAAACCTTTTGATGTACTCTTTGGTTTGAGCTACTTATGGAACTGCAATGTCTTCGCTGCACCACACTTGAAATTTAGATTCCAAGCGAGCATTTCTTCGCAGATCCATTGTTTGAATTACATGTAGACGAGCACAACAAACATTTAAACCTTTTGACAGCTAGCCTAATCTGTGAAGAGCTGGACAATTTTTAAGGAAAACGATCATACAAAATCCAAATCAGGGTTGGTCTGAATTAGAATCGTATACTAGAGAATGGTATACTAAACAGGTCTGGCCGTTGGGCAATAACCTTTAACCTTTGTTATACGATTAGTGCCGTTTGTCCGGCAGTTTTGTCAAAGTTTCCACTGCCAACTGATCTTGTCGACGCTCTAAGCCGTTAACCATGTTTTCAATGTTTTTCAGTTCGCACGAGACAGCAGCAGTGCCGCTTCCATCAGAGTTGGAATGAGTAGACGTATCCTGTAGCAAGGTTGGCGAACTTTGTGATGTAGGTGGCGAAGAGGTTGTGGTCGTGGTGGTTTTCGATTTTAGATGCAGGAGTGACCTGTGATGGGGAGGACTGGTTTCTGTCAAAGAAGGGACACCGAGAGGTGATGTGCTGGTGTGGGTGGAAAAAGGAATCGGATAAGGGGAGAATCGATGCTGCTGTCGGAGGCGGGAGTTGAGTTCCGCTAGTCCTTGATAACTATTGACTAGCAGTGGATAGAGCTGCGCAGCTGTAGTAGAGTTGGGCGGAAAGAATAGCTGGGGATGGAGAGTAGGTGAGTACAGGTAGGGCAAAAGGTGTGGATGGGGCAAGCCCGGACCCATAGTCATGTTTGGTCCTGTTTGAGTGACAATTTGAGGGCTATGAAGAAGGGGGTTAGCTTCTTCGCTAGACTTGGGCTGTAAATGATGTCCAAGGCCCAAGGACTTGGCTGGTGATGAGGATATGCTCGGGGGGTATCTACTGTCGCTATGTTGATGGTCTTCGGGCTTAGGAGTAGATGACGGTCGCCTAGTTTCAACAGCTGAACTGGCATGGTCTTCTTTGTTAACATCAATATCTGGACAGCAATCTGTACCGAAACACCAACATTTACTGGTAAATTCCAAATACAAAGATTTCAGGGGTCAGTCAAATAGTTACCTGATACTTATCATCTTCTATATATCTGACTCACTTATACTATTGGAGTTCTTCTGTTAGCCTATAAATGATTCACCTACTAGATGGAATTGTTTAGTGACGAGTAAGATACGAACATAATTACCAGTTCTATTCTCTTACACTAAAATTTCAAAAGGTTTAAAAACATATTTCAAAACTATTTTATTTTACCAATTTATTTTAAGTAACCTATCTTATTCTATTTTCATAGAATTATTTATTTTCTGGCTCATACCATAAGATTTATGTATACTTTCAAGAATACTCGCGAATTGCGATTATTTTTTATTTATTTTTTTACATTCGTCGGAACCTTTCCATTAAATCAGATAAACTTATTACTTTGTTGAAAACGTATATACATATATATTTTCCACTACTGACAGTAAAACCAAAAGTTAATAAGGAAATTTGAAAGGAACTAAACAATTGTATGACAAAAACTAACAAGTTAGAAAAGGTAATACAAATTTAACAATAAATTTTGTTGTTAGGAGCATTCAAATCCAAAGAAGTATAAAATATAAAAAAAAAATAATTCTTTTCGAGTTTGAAATTCCTCAAAGTATTGTTCAGAAGATTTCAGTAGTTTTATTAGTACACCTGAATAATTAAAGTTAATACAAATTTAACAATAAATTTTGTTGTTAGGAGCATTCAAATCCAAAGAAGTATAAAATATAAAAAAAAAACAATAATTATTTTCGAGCTTGAAATTCCTCAAAGTATTGTTCAGAAGATTTCAGTAGTTTTATTAGTACACCTGAATAATTAAAGTTAATACAGGTTTCCTTTTCGGATTTCATACAAAACATAGTAATAAAGAAATAAATAATGAGGTCAAAAAGCACGTTAAACTATCACGGCTGGACAGAACTTTTTTTCTCGTATTTTACATTGGCTTCAACAGCACCTATGACCTCTAAAACAAAAAAATCAAACTAATCCTCTTTGTTACCTTCAACAGAACTCAGGAGCTCTAACACAAAAAATCAAAACTAATCCTATTTGTTGCCTTTAACAGCACTCACGAGCTCTAAAACACAAAATCAAACTAACCCTCCTTGTTGTCTTCAACAGCACTCAGGAGCTCTAAAACAAAAAGTCAAACTAACCCTCTTTGTTGCCTTTAACAGCACCCAGAAGCTCTAAAACAACAAAATCAAACTAACCCTATTTGTTGCCTTTAACAGCACTCAGAAGCTCTAAAACTAATCCTTTTGTTGCCTTCAACAGCACTCAGGTGCTTTAAAACAAAAAATCAAACTAATCCTCTTTGTTGCCTTCAACAGAACTCATTAACTCTAAAACAAAAAAATCAAACTAACCCTCTTTGTTGCCTTCAACAGCACTCACGAGCTCTAAAACAAAAAAATAATAACCCTCTTTGTTGCCTTCAACAGAACTCATTAACTCTAAAACAAAAAATCAAACTAACCCTCTTTGTTGCCTTCAACAGCACTCACGAGCTCTAAAACAAGAAATCAAACTAACCCTCCTTGTTGCCTTCAACAGCACTCAGGTGCTTTAAAACAAAAAATCAAACTAATCCTCTTTGTTGCCTTCAACAGAACTCCGAAGCTCTAAAACACAAAATCGAACTAACCTTCCTTGTTGCCTTCAACAGCGCTCAGGTGCTTTAAAACAATAAAATCTAACTAACCCTCTTTATTGCCTTCAACAGAACTCATTAACTCTAAAACAATAAAATCTAACTAACCCTCTTTATTGCCTTCAACAGAACTCATTAACTCTAAAACAAAAAAAAATCTTACTAACCCTCTTTGTTGCCTTCAACAGAACTCATTAACTCTAAAACAAAAAAATCTAACTAACCATCTTTATTGCCTTCAACAGGACTCATGAACTCTAAGACAAAAAAAATCAAACTAACCCTATTTGTTGCCTTCAACAGCCCTCAGGAGCTCTAAAACAAAAAATCAAACTAACCCTCTTTGTTGCCTTCAGTGCTTATGGCGGGTGAAGAAAAACTCGGCAACTGTGGTTTCAAATCTGCAGCGCCCCCTACGTCCAGACGTTCTTCATCATCACTTGAGTCATCAATGGGTTCAGGACTCTCCTTGTTCTGGGCATTATTTTCAACTGTAGAAAGCTGAGGTTGTTGTTGGTTCAACATCATCACTTGACGTCTGTAGAGGGGAGAGGAGTTGGGACTGAAATAAATAAATGCTTCCATATCGTCTGTTTATAGGTAATTCCCACCCCATTAGGTACAAATTGTTGAAACAATAGATAATTTTGAAAGATCTAGCTGCACCGGGGTGAATGTTGTGCTATATATATGTATGCAGGTATATATATATATAATACAATATGTAAATAAACCACTAAATAAATTAAACTACCTGCTAATACGACAAGATAATAACATTGGATAATTCAAAGCTATTGATAATGGATAAATAAATAAACTGGTTAACTCTTCAAATTATTTCTTGATGCATTAACTATATGGTTTTCAGAACACGAAAACATTTGCATTTTTAACGCGGAAAACACAGCTAATGAAAAATTCTAAATGATGAAGGAGTAATAGGTTTATATTTCTGAGAAATATACATTTATAAGTGATTTTTGTTTGTCTATTGTTAAGTACAAAGCTGCGCAATGGGGTTTCGAAAACCGATTTTTGGCGTTACACGCTCTCAGACTTATTGCTGAGCCATCGGGGGGAGGGTGGTTATAAGTGCTATATAAAATTCTGAATAACTCAGATAAAAATGTAATAGTACAAACCCTAAAACCGACATATAGTTTGAATAACCATAGACATTTTTGAAGTACATTTGTATTTGTCACAAACATAATCGTTAAGCCTAATGTATCTGCAATAATGCAGTGTGAAATGACCTTTAATCCTTCAAAAAGGTTTGTTGTTTAAGGTAGCGCTAATAAGGCTTTCTGACGTCGTCACTAATTTTGAATTACCCACTAGAGGGAAGGCAATCAATCGACCGCCTACTCTCCCTGCCAGCTCTTTAGCTATCATTTACTAATCAATAGTGGGATTGATCGTGACATTATAACACTGAAAAGGCGAACATGTTCGGTGCCATGTTTCGATCCTGCGAACTATAAATTCCGAGCGAAGTGCTTTAGCCACCAGGCCTGTTGAAAAATATAAAAAAGCGAAGCAATTTTAAGATCTATTTTGACGGAAACATTAAATATGAACAGTGTCGAGGCTATTTGAGAGTGTGTCAATGTGAATGTTATAGCAAAGGTCGCTGACCTTTATTGCAGGTGATATTATTGATGGGTTAAGTCAGTGCTTCTATTTCGTTGCCTAGTCTGTGAGGATTGAATCATGAGAGCTGTTTGTTGTTAAGCGCACAACTACACAATGAACAATCTGTGCTCTGCACAACACGGGTATCGATACCTGATTTTTAGCGTTATAAACCTTCACACTTGCCGCTGAGCCATGAGGAGTGGTATGCGAAAAATCAAGAAATTTGTTTGGACGAAAAAAAAATTATACTTCAGAGACAAAAAAAAAAAGACTTGTTACTGTGAAATATTTAAATAAAAACGTAAACAAAAAATCTTTCCAGTTTTCTACAACATGTTGTACTCATTTTAAAGCAGGATTACACACGAAGGTAAATTTATGATTTCTCGTACCCTAAAATGTTTAACGCTAAATGTTATGATAAAGAAATACAGATATCTAAATTATAGAAAATTTTGTCAAGCAGCTTCTGCGTCCTGAGCCGGATAACTGGTAAATAGGCAAAGGAAAAATAATCTTTCCAAAAGAGACTTAATACTGTGTGATCCACACAGTTAAAAACAGTGGATGATGTGTGGATTCGAGGAGTCTGAAGATGAATTTAATATGAACTTCACCCTTCCAAAATAAAGCTGATATCGTGTGAACCATAAAGGTAGAAATAGTGGATGATTTGTTAAGTTGATGAATTTGAAGATGAATTTCGGTAATTGTAGTATATGCTGATAGACAAAGCTTAATACTTAAGTCACGCGACGCAAGGACACGTGAACGAAAGGTTCTGTGTGAGATCGCGAATATAACGTGACTGCAGAAAAGTAATAAGGGTGAAGTATCTACACATCAATCTGTTTTCGGTTCTAATATTTTAAAAAACCTAAAGCAATTGTTCTTCATTCCTAAAACTTTAAACACAGCGGATTTTTGCTAAATTGAACTGGTTAAAATACAATTTGTCCAATTACTTGTCATAACACAAAATATTTATTTCCAAGTTATAATAAAACGAATATACGCGATTATAAATGATCCTTTAGTCATCCTAAGCATCAGAAAAGTCAAATAAAACTTAGATTATATGTTACAAAATAATAAATATGTTAGGATATGTAAAATCTATGCAAAGTAATAATCTCCTCGAACGTACCGATAGGTTTTGATATGACATCTTAAAATGTACATTCTATTAAATTTAAGTGATACATTTGAGTAGCTGAAAATAATTCTGTCGTCACTCGGAAACTAAACCTAGTAACCGAAACTAACCTTCTATGTCGTCACTCGGAAACAAAACCTAGCAACTGAAAACTAACCTTCTATGTCGTCACTCGGAAACAAAATCTAACTACTGAAAACTAACCTTCTATGTCGTCACTCGGAAACAAAATCTAACTACTGAAAACTAACCTTCTATGTCATCACTCGGAAACAAAACCTAGCAACTGAAAACTAACCTTCTATGTCGTCACTCGGAAACAAAATCTAACTACTGAAAACTAACCTTCTATGTCGTCACTCGGAAACAAAATCTAACTACTGAAAACTAACATTCTATGTCGTCACTCGGAAACAAAATCTAACTACTGAAAACTAACCTTCTATTGTAAAGAAATGTACTATATTATAAATATATTTAATAAAATCAAATGCTTATTATGTGAACCTTTTTTTTATGTTCAGTAACTTAACATCTAACTAACTCTTCATTTGTAAACTAGTTTATACTTTTAAATTGTAAAGAAATTGTGCTTGAAAACTTTAACCACGAGTGACTTTTCTATGTCAAAGCAACGGACAAATCAATCGTATGTTATTATTATTATTATTATTACTATTTTTAATTTGTTGATTACCACAAAATGATGATCAGAAATACCCACCCAAAACTGTCGTAGTATATATGCTCAATATGGGAGTATTTTTTGTAGTAAAATAGATTACACAGACCAAATTTTACATTTTTAAGATTTAAATATGTTCTTGTTGCGTGGTAACAATTAGTAGTAACAGATAATCTTATGGCCACTTTGTTTTAGGGAAGAGTCAAGTGATTGGTAATAAATTATCCATTGAACAGTTAAAAAGAACCTAATTTTAATGGGATGTATCGTGACAAACAATTGAAAATACATTAGTTCATTGGACAGTTAAAAAGAACCTAATTTTAATGGGATGTATCGTGACAAACGATTGAAAATACATTAGTTCATTGGACAGTTAAAAGATCTTAATTTTAATACGATATTGTTTCATCACAAATAAAAAAAAATATTTTGGCATTTTATTTAATTTAACACAGTAACAACTTTGCTGTTCAAAAAAACTCAACGTCCTGTAGGTCTACTTTTTTTTCCCCCTTTATGAATTTCAGGTGTAAAATTATTTAATTTATAGAACAGAACTACGTTTGATCGTCACGAGGATGTGTCACGTACAATGTAAAGGACGTTTTTGTTATTGTTTAGATTGAGGGATAATTGTTGAGGGATATAAATTGTATTCGAAGACTACCGTCCATAACAGCAATAAAAAATAGTTTCTTCTAAACATTACAGTCCACATTATGCAACCATACGTGCATACACACACTAACATAGACATATATATAGAGTAACTATAAAGTATCTTGTAAGTCACTTAAATAAGAAATAAATAGAAACATTTGATATCCCAATTATATGATTTCTAATATCAAAAGTTGTAATTTGTATCAATTATTGTACTAATAATGCAAAACAAATTTCGCTGAAGAATGAGATCACTTGAACCTTTATTTAATACAAATATTAGTGTGTTTACTAGTCACCATGCAGATGGATTTATAACTTTGTTTACATATCCAAAATATTTTCTTACTTTTTTTCTCGTTTTCCCGCTCCAGTATCCCGAAATCCCTTAGCAAAAGGATTGTTGTCAATCTTCAGTTGAGTTATCTGTATAATGATAAGAAAAAAATTCAGAAAACAGTATAATCTAAGTGGTCTAAATTTTTTATAAACATCCATAAAAAATCACGCATAATTGAAAACACAAAACACATCTTTCAGCTTATTTCGTTTCTAAATGAATCGGCTTAAGCCAGAAACGAAGCTCTAAATCTTTATTCCTTTTATTCGTTTTAGCGATTATGTGTGTACATGTGCTTATCTGTCTGTCTGTCACGATATAAAGTTGATAACGACTGACCCGATTTAATCCAAACTTTGGTCAGGGTTAGGTAACTTGTCAGCAACATACAGTGTTGGGTGTATTTTATTGTCAGGTAAAACACTATCGCTAGTATATAAATCTCCACTTTCTTCAAATCACAGTTATCTCATTTCTTAAAAGATAAAAATGCGAAAATCCTCTAGCAAAATGAACTAGGGCTTAAGTTGACATTGGGGTTGGATAGAGAACTGTGTTATGTACGAATATATGTTTGGTTCTTCTTCTTATATTTACGACATTTCTGCAAGTACTTGAGTTTTAAACGCGTTTAGATCTTTATTAACGTTTCTAACTGTATATGCACCATTTCTTTTAGCTAAGAAAAGTTTGTATGACAAGAAAGTCTGTATTAGAAAAAAAAACGATGTCATTAAACATGCAAAACCTCATTTAGAGGAGAGAAAATGTTCACAGGGAATGGAATTGAAGCATTTAAAAAGAATAGGACCCGTTACACCACCATTTCTAAAAATATTGGGAACAATAGGGAAAAAGTAGAACAATGACATATGCTTTAGGAAAACACCGCATAAGAAAACAACAACTCATACTGAAGGCAGATGAAATTGAAATGCCATTTCGGTAGTCTGAATAGGGAGAAAACTGCGTCATATTCAAGTTGATAGATATTGATGTGAATAAGGGGATTTATAAAACGCAGGCGGATAAAGGCAGCAAGTACTTGAATATGTGTAGGTAATGATAGTAACAGTCAACTTAAAATAAATACTTTGTGCGTATATTGTTTTCTCTCCAGTAATGACAAACGTTAGTTATTAAACGAAGCATCAGAGAGATGTAAGCGATGGGTCTGTAAGCAGGAAAAAACATAGCAACAAAGTAAAGAAGACGATGGAAAACCAGAGAAAAATAATAACTGAAATGATCATAGGATACTACGAAGTATATGCGAGGAAGTATGCATGATATTTAACAGCGATGGATAGAGAAAAAACTAAGCAGAGGGAAAAGACATGAAAGATGAGAAAGCAGTGAGAAGTTTTCATTTGTGTACACACTTCTAACAAAGAGCAGAATTATCCGTAAAATGTATCTCGTTACCCTAGTTTGGACAGGGTCCTTTCTGCGAGGGGGGGGGGGCTTCTCTTTCTAGCACATAATCGGAATAAAATTCCACAAGGAGTTCTTTGGCGCGAGCTATGATGCGTAGAGCGGGACACCCTCGTCGGAACTTTTGGGAGCACCCAAGTGTGAGAAACGTTGGCGTCGGGCTGCTGAGATGTGTGGAGCGGCGACCACCCGTGTCCGCCAGCACGCCTAGTAGCCACACCAAAGATAACGGCAAAAGCGTCCCTTTCGTTTCATTTGTAAAGTCTCATGGACGCTATGAATCTGGCACTGTGGCAAATAATAGATGGCTCGTTTTAGTAAGAAACACTTCTTACTCTCGAGTTTGAGTTATATGTTCAGACACTTAGTTTACTAATATCTGACTCTCACTTACTGGTGGTCTGTCTTATGTACCTCTCCTATTGAACAATAGGAGTAATTTGTAAAAGTAAACCAAAAATGACACTAGAAAATGATATACAAACAATAGAAAATTATTAATGTATATCAAACATCATGGAAGGAATTGCTATACTGAAACCTCATATGGAAGATACTAAGTGGTTTCGAGAAATTATGTTTCATTGTACACTAAAACAAAACAAGAAACAAAGAGACGTGTAATTCGATGATGATCATATCCTCATCTGCTATGAACTCTCTTTGCAGTTTCTGATGCATTTCATTCCCTCAAAACCTTTGCTGTAGCCACTGGACAAGTTGGCGCGACAGGACAAGTCGGATCTTCTTTCCTGCGTTGTTAACGAGCCGTGAAGACAGAGACAGGATGGGACACTGTCTACATATGTGGCGTTTATCTAGCTGTTGTGGTGACTGTTGTTCTATTAGTGTGGTAAGAAAGGGATCACGCATTCCTAACCTGGCACTCCAGGGGTTAGTAAAACGAATGTTTGTAGCACATCATTAGTAAGGCTAATTAGTTGTCTTTGTAAAGTTCACTCTTTTGTTTGCTAACGCAAGCGTATGAGCGTGCTGCTTCATCTTGTAGATCTTTGCATGAGATATGAAAAGTGTAGAGAAAGAAAAGATGAAAAAATTCTAAGCAAATATGTAGAATGAAAACGAAAAATGTCGTGAAAAGAACGAAAGACAGGAAGAAAACGAAAGTATACAAAGAAGGAATATATTTTACTTAAAGATAAGAGTAGAAAGAGCAAACAGCGTAATGTAAGTCATAAAGGTCTAACGAAACAGAAAGAGAAAAATACGGAAAAAAACTCGGACAGGAAATTATGAGATGAAATACTATTAAAATAATCGGGAGTGAACCTCAAATTAAAAATAATATAGAAGCATCAGATAATTTGGCAGAAATGAACTATATAAGACTTATAAAGATCTTCAGATTATTCTTTGTTATCTTTGGAGTATTTAGGTGGTTATTCACAAGTTTAAATCTATTTCGTATACTACTTAATCACTTATAATCAATAACCAAATCTGCAGTTACTTTATTTCTGCCTGAGTTGTAGTTTGCGAGAAATTAAGAAAACAATATCATTAAAATCCTTTACGTAAATTTCTGCTTAAAGAAGTGAAACTTTGAGGTTGCATGAAGTGGCAATACGAGGCAATATCTAACACGAGGCACATTCACCTCAGTTCATACAGCTTTCTTGCATATGTTTTGCTTACTTTACACCCTAAAAGGCTTCAGTTCTCATCCCTTTAACAACAAGAAATTAATGTTAAAATCCCACCCCAACCATACATTTTGTTCCCAAAGTAACAAGACATACAATTACTTGCGTTTGATAATCTTCAAAATAGGGCCTCCTAGCGTAACAGTTGGTTTTCTCTTCATTTTTCTGCAAGTATCAAACGTGTAAGATCTTACGTTCTTAGGTTTCCCGAGTATACGTTATGATAGTCAGCAAAACATCAACAATACAGATATGAATTACGTAGGCTTAGAGCATGGACGAGCATGTAATACGCTTTGAATGACTGACAAAACACTTTTTAACTAATTGACTTAATAAAGTTACTTTGACAGAACGAGGTGATCCAGCAACTACTTTAAAATTCTAGCGACTGTTCATAAAGAACAAGAAGACAAACCCTCATCCAGGTGATTGTTTTAAAAACTATATATTTTTTCTTTACATTATAGCAACACTCAACGCAATCCTGTTAGTAACTGGCAAACCATAATGAAGAGGTTCATCGTTATTCTATGATGTTTAGCTCACATCTATTACACGTCGATCAGACTTCACGGATACGATGATTATTCAACATGGTATGTATACCAAACGCATGTAAGAGTACGTGACTAAAGGCAACTTCTAAAGCCGATACCAAATGAATCCTTAGAGCCTGACATATTTTGATGGTAAATAATACACGAAGAATAAATTTGATTCAAAGTTACATGTATCTTTAGCTCTGTTGAAAAATTATCTAGATAACTTTGCATTTCAGGGTTTGCACTTTGGGAATTCCCTTGTAAGAGTTCTTTCAAACCAAAATTGGGGGTTAATATTTCAAACACACTCACAAAATAGAACACTCGAGCTTCAAACGTTTTTTATATCTTGATCATTTCTCGCAACTGATAAATACACATGCACACTTATATGAATCATAAGCAGAAAACGTCATTACCTGTAGATGCTGACTCAAAAGGCATCATGACTTCACAGGTATAGCTCAAACACATATATACTTCTATTGTAGTATTTTCGCTATAAGTTTGTCAAATCATACGTTTATAGGATAACACAGTATATATATTTAAAGCCACTGAAAATGCTTCAAAATAAATAAACGAAAATAAATATATAACGAAAATTTAAATATATATTTGCATATACATATATAAGCATTTAACTATATATTCAAAACAGTTGATTCTTACAACATCATACAAGGTTTTAAGCTTTGTTAAATTAATATATATTTTTATGGTTTAAATTTAGTTTTTATATCATTATGTCAGAAGTTGGTATTTGTGGAAACATTGGAATGATGTTAAAGTTACATAGCTGCTTTTAATACTGAAGTTTTTTTTGTTTTTTTTTGGTGCCATCATAGGGAGCACTCACTATTCTTTGTGAATTTTTATATAGCCGTATTAAACTTAATAGGTTTACTCTGGATCTATATAAGCTTAGCTGCAATTTAGTGTGAATTTTTATATAGCCGTATTAAACTTAATAGGTTTACTCTGGATCTATATAAGCTTAGCTGCAATTTAGTGTGTTTTTGTTTTTAGTTAAGCACAAAGCTACAAAATGGGCTATCTGTGCTGTGCCCATCATGGACATCGAAACCTGGTTTTTAGTCTTCAGATATGCCGTTGAGCCACTGGGGTGGGGGACAGGTTAGTGAAGGAAGTTTAAGCCTGTTCACATTCATACAGATTTCAGCCCATTAAATTTGGGTGCATCTCGTGGAAGTGAATCTCTGTCACCAATGTAGAAAACTTTATATGGTAGATTACAAATAGCCAAACTGTATAACTTTAATTTTACCGTTGCAATGTTCATAAATCATGTCTTACAAATCAACTTGTTATAACAATGACGTTATCTACAAATACACCATTGCAAGTCTTTGGAAAACACAGCGAACAACTGAAGAATTTTCTGTCTTTCCCGCGCTTTAATATTTGGTGATACCTTCGAAA